CTCTCTCAGCTGTCAGTTGTGGGGGGCAGAGATAGGGGCGCCGACTGTTCCGGTGTCCTCACAGGAGCCTGAGGGCTCTGAGTGCCCACTACGTGTCTCCACCATGGGCCACGTGGCTTCTGCCTGGTTTCCACTGTGTGCTGACCCTGGGGCAGGGCAGTGGGGAGACCCTAGCTGAGACCCAGCCCGGTTGTCGCTCTAACCTACACGGTGCAGCTGGGAAATGCTGCTGAGCCCATTATAAGAATCCAGGAGGTCCAGGCCCATGCAGAGAGAGGCCCGAAAGGATGAGGGGTGCAGGCCTTGGAGAGGTGTGGGGACATCAGGCCTTTAGGGGCCCTGTAGGCTGGGTGCCCAGGACCCCCTCACCTGGTAGCCAAGTTTCCGGGCATTGTCCAGGGCCCCACTCAGCGTCCGGATGCGGTATTCCAGGAGAGTCCTGGCGGCCTCTGGGTGGAACATCAGGATATTTGGGAACATCCAGAGATCCTATGAGCACAGCCAAGGGTCCCTTATTCTGAGCTCCCACACCCTTCTCTCTCCCTGACCTGCCCCCATCCTGCCCAGGCGGTGCCTCAGAGCCAGCATGCTCCATGCTGCCCACCTGGGTCTGTTCTAGACCCTCCTTGCCCACTCCATGTCCCCACCTCCAGCCCAGAAGCTCCTCAGGTCTGGTCCCCAGCCCAGTGCTTTACCTTCCCAGTGGGCATCTGGGTCCACCCAGGGGCAGCCAGGGTGGGCACCACCAGCTGCCTGGCCTAGAGTGGAGGACACAGCCTCCCTGAGCCTCACCTGTAAGGTGCCCAGGTGGTGGCTTCTCAAGTCAGGTGATGCTGGGCCCTTCTCACATCCAGGACATACCAAGGCCCAGCTCCGCCCCCTCCTCCACCCATGCTTCCGTCAGCAGCCACAAGGCTCATTCGGGAACACACCTCTGTCCACATCTCTCCCCTCGTTAGTCCCCACGGCTCCTGCAGCCCCCCTACAGCTGTTCTGCTTGCCTCGATGAGGGCCCCTCCACCCTGGTCAGATGCCACATACCCTCTGATCTCTGGGACTTTGAACTTCTGGCCTCCTTGCCTGAATCACTCTTTTCCATCAAACTCCTACACATCCTTTGTCTGAGCCACTACCTCCTCCTCCAGGAAGCCTTCCCTTCTGCCATGACCCCTGTACTTCGCCAATCACAGCCACCATCCCAGGTAGGGCAGAGGCAGTGGCTCTGCCTTCACCCTCAGCCACAGGACCCTCCACACCTGTGTGCTGCTTGCCCTGTGGGGGGTAAATGGTGCACACCTGGTCCCAGAAGACGTGGCCCCAGTAACATTCCTCACGGCTCCCGTTGGAGAGGCCCCCAGGGCTGAGGCCCTGGCAGAGGTCTCCTGGGGCCCCAGGGTGGGGCAAAGCACTGAGCAGGTAGTAGAGGGCGCCACGCAGAGCCTGGCGCAGGGGCATGGGCCCCTCCACATCGAGGCCACAGGCTGCCCAGAGCTGGGCCCAGGCCTGGGTATGGGCAGTGTAGAGAGCGCCCCTGGCCTGCAGCTGCAGGGCCTCCGCCAGGCAGACGTGGACCTCAGCCTGGCTGCCACCCACCACGGTCAGGAACTCCCAGGTCCTGTCCTCCTCTCCTTCCCCCAGGGTCAGAGCCAGGGGCACAGGTGTCCACAGCATATGCACTTCCTGCTGCAGCCCCCCAGGCTGCTCAGGGGTGAGTGTGTGGCCATACAGGTACCTGCAAGAGCACGGCCATGTCTCAGGGACGGGGTCCCTCCTCAAGCCCCCCGGCAGGTCCCTGGTCCCCAGCTCACCGGGCTCCCTGGAAGTCAGGACCTAGATGCAGTTCCAGGTCTGGGCTGTGTGGGGAGAAGTCCGACCGCAGCAGCACCGTGATAGGCCAGCTCCCCGCAGCCAGGCGGGTGATGGACACACTGAAGGCCAGGACGTGTGGCAGCGTGCGGTGGGCATAGATGCACTGGGAGGCCCGGAAGCTGGGGCCCTCCACAGTGTGCAGAAAGGAGCCTGGGGAGGGGCGGAGGGGAAGACGGCACTGGCCCGCCCCACTTAGGGCCACTGCAGACACTTACAAAGCTGCTGGCCTTTCTACCCTGGAAAGCTTCAGCCGCATAGGGGAACCCAGGGTCCCACAGTTCAGGAGGCCTGCCTGGCCAGATGCCTCTTTTCTTTGTGAGTTGGGTGGGTTGGGATGGGACTGCTCTCTGCTCCCACTCCCCTGGGACACTGGCTTATGGGGGTGGGGGGAACCAGCAGCGGATACCTGTGTTAGTGTCCAGGACAAAGGTCTTGGTCAGCTGCTCTCCTGTCCCTGTAGGGGCCTCCAGCTGGACATTGAGGGGACTGGGCAGAACGGCCCGGTGCGTGTCCCCTCTAGCCCCATTGTACACACCACTCACATGCAGTGTGTCATGATACACACGTGTGCCCAGGTATGTGTTGGTCACAGTGGCCAAGAAGCGGGGGTCACTGGGCAGAGAATGGGCAGTGAATATGGTGGGGTCCTCGCCTGTGTCCTCCATGGAAAGGCCTGGTCAGCAGAGTGGGCTGTAAGAGGGAGGGTCGGGGGGCCCCCCACAATTGGATGGGTCTTCCTCTTGTGCCTGTAAACCCCTAAAGCTCCCCTTGGAACTTGGCTGATGCCCCCTACAAATGGTGGGGAGGGGTGTGGCCTCACCTGGGCAGCCCGGATGCCCCAGTGCCCCCACTTTTGAGCCTCCCTGGAGAACGCCCTCGACCTGGGAACACAGACTCCCGTCAGCCTTCACCAGGCCTCTCCAGGCCGCACCCCCACGAACGCCGTCGTGTTAGGGCAAGTGAGGAGGCCTCCGCCGAGAGGACAACCGCGCTCCCGACGGCTGGGCTGGGGGCTTGGGGGTTGCGGAGGCCAGCTGCCAGGGGCTCACCGCTGCTAGTCCGGGCCGGGAAGGCGCAGCAGCCCGCGGCAGCGGAGTCGGCGGAAGGCTCCGCGGTCACCGCCCGTCAGGCCGCTGAGCGGGCGGGCGGGGCAGCTGGGACCCCACCCCCGGGGCGGGGCGATGAGGGTCAGCTGGGTCCCCACCTACGGGGCGGGATCCCCGTCCCCGGGGCGAGACCCCACCCCCAGGGCCGCGCGGGGCTGGCGGGAGGGACGGGGCAGCTGGGACCCCACCTACGGGGAGGGACGCTGCGGGGTACAACTGGGATCCCCATCTCCGGGGCGAGACCCCACCCCCAGGGCAGTGCGAGGAGGGCGGAAGGACGGGGCAGTTGGGAACCCACCTCTGAGGCGGGACGATGGTGGGGGCAGCTGGGACTCCGCCCCCTGGGCGGGACAGCTCGGCCAGACACGACGCAGGCCCGAGACGGGGCTGAATCGGGCTGTACCCTCACGTCCTTTCCTTTGTCTCCTTGGGGTTCGTTTGGGGACCAGGTGCAGCTGGTGCGCGGATGGGATCCGCGGGCACCTGCTTGAGGACCACAGTGTGACCTCTGACCTCACTGACATCCCCACGGTGGATCTGAGAGGCGGGGCTTTGACGCGGGTTGCCCCTCTGCTGTACGGGCTCTCTCCTTGTCGCCGTGCCATCCGTGTACCCCTTTAGAGAGGTGGTCTGGGGGTCCTCCTGGAGACATGCCCTTCGCTTCTCCCTGTGCCACCTTACGGTCTACATCTCCCCCCTGCCCACCTGGACGCTCCGCTGGGCCCTGGGCCTGTCTCCTTGTCTCCCTTAAGCTGCAGGGACCCAAATGTCTGCTCTGACCACTCAGCCCAGCCAGAGACGCTCAAACGGCGCGGAACCCACTCTCTGCAGCAGTCTCTCCCAGCACAGTCGATGGCCTGTCCGGAGCTCAGGCCCCCTCTGTCCCCACCCTACATCCATCTGTCCTGTTGGTCCCACCTCCCAGGGCATGCCAACTCTCACGTCCTGTCCCCACCTCTTTAACAGAGAGCCACAGCCGTCCTGCGAGTGGTTAGGTCAGATGGTGCTCAGAGGCCCGCAGCGCTGGCCACCTCACCAGGAGGACAAGCCAAGTAGTGTCCCCAGCCCCTGCCGCCACCCACCCTGGCTTCCTTGCTGCTTCTGCACATTTCAGGGATGCTCCCCGTTATGGATTGGATGGTCTTGTCCCCTTCAAAATCCACCCACTGAAATCTAACCCCAATGTGATGGTTTTGGAGGTGGGCCTCTGGGGCGTAATTAGGTTAAGAGCTTTCGAGAATGGGATCAGTCCTTCCCATTCATTGGCTGCTGTTGTCTTTCAATGGTATGAGCAGTTATCAGGGATAAAATAGCCTTGGGCCGTTGTAAAATGAGTTGGAGTGACTCCTTGGTCTCTTCTATGTGGTCTAGACATTGCTTCAAAAAAACAAAAATGAAAACAACAACAGAAAAGAATGGGATTAGCGCCCTTATACTAGGGGACCAGAGAGCTACCTCACTCTATCATGTGAGCACACAGCAAGAAGACAGTGTCTACAGCCTGAAAGAGGCCCTCAGCAGACCCCAAATCTCCCAGCACCTAGATCTTGGACTTCCCAGCCTCTAGAACTCTGAGAAATAAGTTTCTGTTGTTGACAAGCCATCCACTTTATTGTATTTTGTTATAACCACCTGAGCTAAGACATACCCTTCTTGGCCTTCGCACTGGAACACTCCACTTCAAGATACCCTCAGGGCTTAATCCATCATTTCCTTTCATTTCCACATGCCTGTCCCAGTCAGATTTCCCCCCCGGTGCCCTCCTTGCCGCAGGAGACCCTGGCCCATTCCCTCCTGCGGCTCTGCCTCCCTTAGTTCCTCCACAGCATTTATCAGCCGATCTATGATTGCTTCTCCTAGATTGCTGCCTCTAGGAGGAAGAGATTTTTGTCTTTTTTTCAGAATGAATGACTGGATTTTGAAAGTGGATTAAGGAAGGGAATTTCCCTTGAGGCCTGGAGAGGCTGACACCCAGGCTTCCGTCCCACCTGGACTGGGGTCTCAGGAGCTGGCAGAAGAGACTTGAGGCTTGGGGGGCTGTCTGCTGCTGAACCTGCCCATCAAGGCCAAGCCTCATCTCAGAGCTTCCTGCAATCAGTCTGTCTCCTGAGACTCATCCATGAAATTAGGACTAGAACACGCCCCATACAGGAAAGACTGTGGGCACCTGATAGCACACCTGACCACATGCAACAGAAACCTGCAGAAATGAATCCAAAGGAGGGGGGATTATCAGTGCATGAAGGGTTGCCCACCACCTGTGGTGTCACAGTGCCCACCCTGAGCCAGGGGCCACTACTCCATCTCTACCTCCCCTGGTCTCCATTCCTGAAGATCAAGACAGTGAGTGGACACCTCTGGGCTCAGACCACACAGCCTCAGAGATGCCTTCACTCCTAATGCCACCATTCTAGGGATGGATAGTGACCCTGCATACCTTTGGTCAACTGTTAGCCCTTGCTCGATCCCCTGTGGCCAGGAGCAGAGTTGTGGGGCTGAGGGGGGGCCTATACTCCAGATGGGGACGGCACCAGCAAAGGGATTCCTTTGTGCTGGGAAAGTCAGGAAAAGGCCAGCGCATGGTAGGTGTGCAGTCACTGGGGAGCTCTCAGCAGCACTGTTGTTCTGGGGCTGAAGGGTCCCAGGAGAGGAAGTAGCAGTGGGGACTGGGGGTAAAGGGGTCCTTGGCTATGGAGGACAGACACATAACCTGTCTTCAGTGTGTGGGGGGAGGAGCATGTCTTAGGGCCTGTCCAGGGCGGGTAAGTGGCTGTGTGCTCATGTCTCCCACCTGCCTGCCCAAAGCCCCTCAGGCTCCAAAGAGTTGCCCAGAGCTGAGAGCAACACCTTTCCAGCCTTGGAATGAGGAGGTCTGTTCTGTAGGGCCGACGCGAGTCCTCCCTGCTCCAGGCTCCAGGCTCTGGGCTCCAGGGCCTCAGCAGGCACTGCTGAATCCCTTGGGAGTCTAGGGCTGGCTGTCCAGTGCTGGGTGTGTGATGACCAGACCCGGCTTTGCTGTCCTCACAGCCCGCAGCTCCAGCAGTGACTGCTCATTCAGCTCCACGGAGGTCAGCCTGAGGCCCGGGGCACAGGACACGACAGGGGGGTTGTTTGAGGGTAGGCCAGGGCTGGGGGTCAGTGACAGGGGAGCAGTGGGGGGGCAGTGACAGGCTGTTGGCCTGGGCCATGCCAAAGGCACACAGTGATGTTAGCTGGCCAGCAAGGGTGCTGTCAGAGGCTGGGGAGGGGACAGGGACTGGGAGCCAGAGCCCCTGGGGAGTGATGGGGTATCAGAATCATTGGCCCAGACTGGCCACAGCACCAGGAAGCAGATGGATGTTTGGTTTGGCACAGTGGTGAGGCCAAGGGCTTTGGAGAGCCGGTGTCCAGGGGCTGGGTGTGGGTGGCCACTCCGGAGGGCCCTGGGAGGATTTCTCTTCCGTGTCCAGGGGAAGTTCTCAGGCACCCACCCCAACCCTGGGTTGAGAGGCTGTGTCCCCAGCACCCTCTCCCCTCCACCACCTGAGGTTCTGCAGGCGGCATTCTGGGTGCTTCAGGGCCACACACAGGCAGGTCACGGTGGGTCCCGGCAGCTGGCAGCCACTGAGATCCAGGGTGGTCAGGGCAGGGCTCTGCCGAAGCAGGCCGACCAGGAGCGCGTCCTGCAGGTTCGGCTGCTGCAGCCTGGGTGGAAAGCTGACTCAGGAGCTGCGGTGGCGACCCTGTCCCTCCCTCAGTCCCTCCCGGGCCAGGCCTCACCTGAGCGTTTGCACCCGGCACTGGGGCCAGGCCAGGCCCTCACTCAGCTTGCATAGGCCTGCCTCACTGACAGTGTTGTGGAGGAGGCCCAGGTCAGTCAGGGCAGGGGCCTTCTTCAGGGCCTCAGAGAGGTCTTGGCACATGGAGTCGGAGAGTTTGCAGTGGTACAGCCTGTGGTCAAAAGCACGTGGGTCTGTGTGCAGGCCCCTTGGCCACCTTGTTGTAGCCCAACTGTGCAAGCTGCTTGCTTCCTGGGGGGCTGAGGGTCAGTCAGGAGAGGTGCTGGCTCCACAGGGCCCCCCCTCCTTTGTCACCACGCCCATGGTGACATGCTGGACCACGCTCCACTCTCCCTAGGGCACTCACTATTCTCTGCTGGCTTTTCAGTGAGCTGACACAGACCTTACTCTTATGTTTCATTTCATGTAATTGTCCATCCGGCTAAGGCGGGCCAGAGTTTATTTAGCTAGCCAGTCCCCAGGAAAGGGGCGGCTGTGTTTCTTCTACTGTTTTCGCCAATATAAATCGTGCCGTGAGGAGCACTGGGTTTGACGGTAGAGTCGATGCGCCAGGTGTGCCGATCACCTTTGGTGCCCTGGGTTTATTTCCAGGTTGCTGGAAGTGCCGCCCACCATGTAACCTGTTACCATGCGGCTCACCACCAACACGGGGCCTTCCCTTTTCACCAACTCCATCAGCACCAACTCCTGGTGTCTTTCTTGCTGTCTGCCCACTTGGCAACAGCCAGCAGGAACTGGAGAGCCGTCTCGGCTGAGTCCTGCACCCACCTCAATCCTCACACCGGCCTCAGAGGCAGAGTCTACTGCCTCCACTTCATAGGGTGGAGATGGAAGCTCAGACAGACGGACTTGCCCAGAGCTGCACCCTGAATTCCTTTCTCTATTGCTTCTAAGAATCCAGAGCGACTGACCAGAAGTTTCTAGTGGCACCTAGCAGTCTTCCTTTGAGAGAAAAATCCTTTCTGGTCTACTTTACCTTCCCCATTATGCTTAGCTGCACCCTGCTCTCCACGCAGACTGGGCGCTTCCTACCCAGCCCCTCAGCTGGCCGCAAAGCCCTGCCCAGCCCTCCTTCCCTCCTCTGCCCTGTGTGGGCGCTCAGCCTGTCTGCCCGGCTGGCCCAGATGGGTTATTTTGTCTGTGTCCCCTGCAGGGGAGGGGCTGGGGTGTGGCCACTCACGTCAGGCTCTTGAGACCGCACTGCTGGCTGGTCATGGCCTCACAGAGTGGACGCAGCGCAGAGGCCTGGGGGTTTCTTGAAGCGGATCGAGAGCTGCTAGGAAAGAGAGGAAGGTGAGACCCAGGGGCCCCCTCCCAGGCCCTCCCTCCTACAAAATACGCCTTCCTGTGATCCTCTGCCCTCACCCCCAAGCTAAGCCAGGACCCCATAACCTCCTTCACCCCAAACTCAGTGAAACTGCTCCCCTCCCTGCTGAAGCCATCTATGGGAGTCCAGTGGGGGCATGTCACCCACATTCCTGATGTGGGTCTGTCCTTGCCCCTGCCATGGGCGTCCCAGGCCCCTGTCAACATCCCCACATTCATACTCAGCAGAGGCTGAGCACCTGGGTCAGGTGCTGGGTAGGAGCTGTGTGCAAGGAACAGTGGGACAAGCCTTGCCCTGTAGGTGCGGAGAGCCTGCTGGGGGAGACAGGCACGGGCAGACATCATGGCATATGGTGGTCGGGGACACTCCCATGCCCAGACGGACACTTAGGTGCACCGCCCTGCGGAGGGCCTGCGGGAGAGGCCGCCCTGCCCTGGGGACTCACGAGCTGCCGCCCAGGCCGCCCTGCAGCCGCTTCATCAGGCTTCTCTTCTTTTTCTTCTGCGCTGGGGCCAGTGCGCAGCGACCCAGCCGCAGGGCTTGCCCCGCGGGGCAGCACCGCACGCAGTAGCTCAGGACCGCCAGGTCCATGCGGTGGAAGCGCACCCCCTCCAGCGCCAGCTCCGGGAGGGTGCGCAGGGCCTGGGTCACGAGCGCGTCCTCCTGCGTCTCGTACAGGCAGTAGAGCAGCTCCAGGGCGTCGCTCTGCTCCTCGGCCTCCTCCTCGCCCGCCTCCTCCTGCTCCTCGGCCTCCTCCGCGCCCTCCAGGGCGTCGGCTTTCCCCGCTCCCTCTGGCGCCGGCCTCGGGAGGCCCTGGCCTTGCACCCACCTCAGGGCGTCCTGTTTCACGCGCTCGGACGCCCTGAAGCTGAAAGGGACCTCGATGTCGTTCTGTGTGCCCAGCAGCCCGAAGAGGAAGCGCGTGGTGAGCGTGAGGTGGCGGCGCACCTCGGCTTTTCCCGAAAGCAGCTCCCCCACGCCCCCGGCTGGAGTCCCGGGAGCCCCCCGGTCCTCCAGCAGATAGGACATCGCGGTGAAGAATTCCTGGAAGCTATGGTCCATGAACTGGTAGGTGACGTCAGTCTTCTGCAGGCCCGGCAGCTCCTTCTTGCTCAGAAACAGCCTCTGGACTTCGGAGCCGTGAAGTTCCAGTCGATCCAGGTCCTTGTCGGTGAACTGCGCCTTGCGCCTGAGGACGCCCTCGCGGGCCAGGAGGCACAGCCTGAGCAGCTCGCCCTGCGCACGGGCTGCGTCGTCGGTGAACTTTTTTCTCAGGACGATGGCGACGAAAGACAGGTACACGGACGTGGTGGTCTTTGAGGTGCGCGACAGGTCCTGGCCGAGCTTGAGCTGCCGGTGCAGAACGGTGCACACGATCCAGCACACGAAGGGCACGAAGCACAGCTCGAACAGCGTCTCGTTCTCCTTCACGAAGCGGTAGGCACGCTCCGCCCTCCAGTCGTCTTGGAAGAACTTGTAGAAATACTTCTTCTTGTCCTTGTCGGAGAAGCCGCGCACCTCGGCGCACTGCGGGGAGCTCTCTTGGCCTCGCAGCGTCCTGGGGGTGGCGCGCGTGGTCACCAGCAGGCGGGCACCGGGCAGCAGCTCCTTGCTCAGCAAGCTGCCCAGCACCTGCGCGCCGCTGGTGGCCTGGAATGGGTCGGTGCAGTGCCCCTCCTCACTGGGCAGCTCGTCCGCGCCGTCCAGGATGAAGAGCAGCCGCTCTGGCTGCGCCAGCATGAGCCGCACCGGCGCGCTGCGGCTCGGGCACTGGTCGAGGATCAGGTCTGCCAGGCTGCGCGTGTCGCGTCCCTCCACCAGCTCGCTGCAAGACATGAAGAAGGCGAAGTCCACCTGGCTGTGGTACAGCTTGCCCGCCGCCCAGTCGTACAGGATTTTCTTGGCGGCCATGGTCTTGCCGATGCCCGCCGGGCCCTGCAGCACCACCGTAAGCGGCCAGTTCCCATCCTCGCTGGGGCTGAACAGGCGGTTGAAGGTGTGGGTGTCCGAGCGCTGCGCGCGCTCTGGCGGCGGCTCCTCCAGGGGCCACACAGGCTGGTCCTCCAGGGCGGCCTCCTCGTGCGCGATGAGCAGCTTGGTGAAGCGCTTATTGATCTTCACCGAGCGGGCGTTCCTCTCCTTCACCTTGGCATGCCGCCGCAGCACGTGCTCTCGGTACTTCTTCTTGTACTCTGGGGGAGGTGGGAAGGGGACGGGGACGGGCATGTGGGGAGCCCTCTGCCCCTTCCGCCCGGCCCGGGCCTCAGTTTCTCCTGCTGAACCACAGCCCCCACCCCCACCGGCCTTCCCACACCCACTCTTCCCTGGCATCAGCTGCGGGAAACCTCCCAGTGGCGTCAAGGACGCTCCCGCCGAGAGATCTACCTGTGAGCAGCACCGAGGGGGTGGGTCCAAACCCTGCAAGAGACACCTGCGGTGAGTCCCTGCCGAATGTGCAGGACGAGGGGGCATAATCGGGGGTCGGGCCACCCTCAGGCCCGCCCAGGATCCGAGCACTGGGGCCTGAGAATGGGTGGCTGAAACGTGCCCCGGCCTGGGCACACCAGGACGTCTCCGCAGAAGCCGGATGGCGGGCTGCCCACAGCACCCCGACCCCCACCCTTCCTCACTGTGCAGCCGCTGCTCCTTGAGCTGTGCAGCCACGTCGCGCACGTCAGCCCTCTTCAAGGTCTTGCGCGTCACGTCCAAGGCGGTCTCCGGCCCGAAGAAGCTGGTCAGACAGTCAGCAAGGTCCGTGACCTCCGCGCCCTCCAGCCGACCCCACGGGATGCTGCGTCCATCCTGCTTCGCATCCCGCAGCTTGTGGCGGAAGCGCTTCAGCTGCGCCTCACTCAGTTGATCGAACGTGTCCAGGAGCAGACCACGGGCGGCTGCTGCCCTGGCCTCCGTGCTGAGGGGTGGGCTGGGGGTGGCACAGGGTCAGCACGTGCGCCCCAGATCCGCGCCACAGTCCCTGGTCCCCGCGCTGGAGCGGCCACACCGTTGAGAGGTTCGCATGTGCCCCCATCTCCTCAGGTGGCTCCAGGCCAGGGCTTGGAAGCCCTCTACCGGGAGTGGACTCTTCCCCGCCCAGGACCCTGGTCCGGCGCTTTGCTCCAAGGCCTAGCCTCCTACTGCATCGCGGCAGCTGATGACTTGGGTTCACCCCAGGGCCCACAGTGGGCACCCCTGACCAAGCACTGGGGGGTTCCTCCCTGCTTGACTTGGCACACACCTGGCCAGACCAAGTCCAACGCCCAGGATGAGGTGCCTAGAGGGCCTGGGCACTCCCCTCTCCTCCCTTCTCTCTCCTGGGAGCCTGGAGCAGGGCCGGCCTCAGCAGGGGGTGGACCCACCCGGCCCAGGCTGTGTTCTTGAATTTCCCAGGATGCCCATTCTCACTGCACCCTTGGCTGGGGCCCAGCCTTGGGGGCTTGCACCCAGGGCTAACTCTGAGCCCTTGGTGGGGAACCTGCCTCATGGATGCCCTCTGTGGGGATGGAGTCCCTAGAATCCTGACTCTGGGAGGCAGTGGGGGAAGGATGGGTAGGCGGTGTGAAGCCCCAGGGCGTCCGCAGGGTGAGGGCTGAAGCTAGCTCATTCCCAAGCGACTGCTCTGAGAGCTGGCACTCACCTGGAGCAGGTGGCCTCCGGCGGTTCCATGGAGTCTGGCCAGTGGGTCTAGCCCTCAGGGCAGCAGTAGGGACCAGAAAGGCGCACCCTCCTCAGGCTGACTGGAGCCAAGTTTCAGTGGGGTTGTGCAGCCCCATCCATACCCCAGACCCAGGCACCACTGGGAAGTCCTCTGACAGTCACCAGGCTCCCAATCTCAGGCACCGTGCGTGGCACATGCGCACAATCGCCCTTTAAGAGCTTTGACTGGTGACCTTTGATTTTCTTCTACTCCTTTATTAGGATAATGATCTCTGAGAACCCACGGGTGTGGCAGCGAGGCCAGGCAGTCACCAGGTCACGGCAGAGCAGGGGTGCTGTGCGGAGGAATTAGCTGGCTCTGAATCAGACCTTAAGCTGTAGGGCCTCAGACAGGTCAAATTTTGAAGGCAGGAGTAGGGAGGGCCTTCTGGTGTGCAGGGTGCTGAGGACGCAGGAGGGGCTTGCAGAGCAGCACAAGGGATAGGCAGGCTGCCGCCCTGGGCCAGAGCATATGGGGCACAGGCTCTTCCCAGCCTGAGCAGGCCAATGGGGAGCGTGTGCGGCCAACGGGGGACCGCATGTGCCGTGAATGTGGGGTTTAGGACAGCGACTGCCTGTGTTGTCTGTGTGAACATGTTAATACAGCATTTGTGTGGATGTATGCGTGGTAGGCTAAATAATAGTCCCCAAGATAAAAAAAACAGAGAGAGGAACGGGCACCTTTGAGGAATTGAGGCAGGACTCTGGGATCCATCTCTCCCTGAGGGCAGCTTTCAAACCCCCGGGGGCAGCAGGACTGAACAGGTCCTAATTCCTGGAACTGGAGAATGTTTCCTCATAAGCCAAAATGGGCCTTGGATGTGATTACATTCAGGATTTGGGGATGGGAGAAGGTCCCAGATTGCCCAGGTAGGCCCTAGGTGTCATCACAATGTCACAGATGGGGGCAGAGGGAGGCTGGCATAGAAGAGGCAGTGGGACCCCTAAGCAAGAATCAGGCCGCTGGCTTTGCGGGGAGGAAGGGCCGAGGGCCAGGGAGCAGGAGGAGCAGGTGCTGGGAGAGGCCGCGGGGAGGGCGCCTGGCTGACGCCTGCGCCTCTGCCCGGTGACACTGTCTGCGGGCCCCTGACCTGCAGAGCTGCAGGAGAACAAGCCTGCGTCATGGCCAGTAGCTTGTTACGGCACCGCAGGAGGTGAGCACAGTCTGAGAGCCCATGTGGACTGCGGCCCCGGACGCCCTCGCACCTGGGCCTCTGTCACTGGCCGTCATCCCTGTGCTCAGTCCTGCTTCCCCCAGGGGCCTTGAGATCCGCTCTTGGGGAGAAATCCCCAAGTCCGGGGGCCTCTATTCCGTGAAGGTGCCTGATCCAATCTATCTATCTATCTATTATCTATCTATCTATCTATCTAATCATCTATATCATCTATTTCCCTCTTATCTAAGACAAACCCAAGGAGGGTGCAGCTCAGGGTTTCAAAGGCACAGCCTGTTGCTCACAGACCCCTGTCCCACGGTGGCCTCCCGGGTTGCTCCCCTCCTCTGTGGGTCCTTGCTAGGGCCCCGCCTGTCTATTCTGACTGTCCTCCTGGGCGTGGGCAAGGTGGGTGAGGGAGGGGCACTGTGTGATCTTAAAGAACTTTGTGAACACACCTCACTGCCTCTGCAGAGTCCTGAAAGGCAGGAGCAGCGGGCTGGTGTGCTGAAGTGGTTGCACCTGGGCCAGGCCCAGCGCAGGGAGGGGACCCGCTCCCAGGCCCCAGAGTGGGCAGCACCCAGCAAAGCCAGGGAGGGGACAGGATCTCCACCGGGTCAGGGTCCTGAGACATGTCTTTAGCACAATCTGGTCTCAGCTGCTGGAAGGAACGACTCCCCTGAGTGCTTGTGGGATTCAGCTCTGTGGACTTGCTGGCCCCTGGCTTAGCCCCTCTGCATGCTGGGATTCTGTAGAGGGCTTTGCCAGTAAGTCGACAGTCAGGACAGCAAATGCAGATGTTTCAGAGCTTGACCATGGGTGGAATCTGGACTGTGCATAGTGTGGTGGGCTTTGCAGGGCCCTGGGTCTCAGCCTCATGCCCAGACACCCCAGTGTCTGGCCCGACCAATCCCTCGCTGAGTCCCGTTCCCACACACTCGAGCACCGATAGTAGACAGATGTCCCATGTAGGCCCCTGCTGCGCCCCTCCTGAATACACCTTTGTCTCTCCACAGCATACATTTCTGAAGGCAAGTTCTCTACAACTGTGCTGTCCCCCTTTCTTGTTGCTTTAAACTGAAAGTGCCACCATCAAGTGCACAGAGTCCTAAGCAAGACTGTCTGGCTTCAGGTCCTGGCTCCACTTGCCAGTAGCTGGGGACACCGGACGAGCCGCTAGCCTCTCTGTGCCCCCACGTCTTCGTCTGCAGAGCGCGTGGTGTGGCACCTTGGTGTCAAGGGCTCAGGCACGGCCATGTGCATGTGCCTGGGCCACTTCCGGCGCTAGTTGTCACTATCATGCCTGTTCTTTAGGCCCCCCGCTGTGAAGCCATGTTTTCTGGGGTCACCAAGAACCTCTGAATATTTGAATCCGCCTCAGTTCTGAGTCCTGCTCACGTCTCCCCAGCACTTCACTCTGCTGACCATGAACCTTCCCTCAAAATGCTCTTTTCCTTTTGTCAAAGGAACTGAGGGATGAAGGTCAGAACACAATGGGCTGGGGTGGTGTGGGGCCGGGGATCCATGCGGCACCTGCTCTGCATTCTGGTACATTCTGCAGGATGTGATCTGGGAATGCCAACGTCATCCCTATCTCCTAAGACAGACCCTACTTGAGTGGACTCTGTGCCCCATAAACTCTCAGCAGCTGCTGATAAAATCCTTGGAAAAGTCTGATAACACTTGGGAGGCAACATATAGGAAACTTTGCCATGTGGTGAGATGTGGAAGCATGGGGATGAGGAGAGGGTCATGGCTGGGGGTAAGGAGAAGGCCAAAGGAGAGCGGGGAGGAGAGAGGGGAGCAGGCAGACAAAAAAGAGAAAATAAGAGCAGGGTCAGGTGGGGAGCCAGCATGGCCACAGTGCCAGTCCATTCTGGATCTTGTCACCCACAAGGTTAGCTTCTGAGCAGGGTCCTTTCAAAGGCATAGCTTTGAAATCTTTAACAAATAATTTAGACTGCATTGTGAATTTCCTCAGTTGGGGAACCTGATCATTTCTTCATGGAAGTTTCCAACAAGGTCTCCTTGTAGTCTTCAATGTCACCCACTCTTCTTGGGGGGCCCCTCCCCTTAGTTCTTGAGTACCTCAAGTGCCTAAAGCAGGGTCCTTCCTTCTGTGTTCTGAGCAGCCCACTTTAACCTTTTGCATTAGCACAAAATTTAGTAAGTGAAATATTTAGGCATTAATCTAGCAAAATATGCATAAGATCTAAATGAGGGAAACTACAAAGCTCTGATGAAAGAAATCAAATATCTAAATCAATGGAGAGATATTTTATTTTCATGGATAGGGAGACTCAATATTATTAAGATGTCAATTCTCCCCAAATTTTATTTTGTATTTCTCTGATGACATATGATGCTGAACACTTTTTCATATACTTATCGCCATCTGAGCATTTAAAGCAATCCCGATCAAAATTCCAGTGCGTTATTTTGTGGCTATTGACAAACTTATTCTTAAGTTTATATGGAGAGGAAAAAGACCCAGAATAGCCAACATAGTGCTAAAGAAGAGAAGTCAGAGCGCCGACACTGTCTGGCTTCAAGACTCATGTAAAGCTACAGTGATCAGGACAGTGTGGTTTTGGCAACAGGCTACACAAGCAGATCAATGGAACAGAAGAGAGAGCTCAGAAACAGACCCACACAAATACAGTCAACTCATCTTTGGCCAAGGAGCCAAGGCAATATAATGGAGAAAGGATCTTTCCAATTTTTTGCTAGATTAAAAGGCTTAGGTATCCTTTATTCTATTTTATTTTAATTGAAGCATAATAGACATGCAAAATTATATTGGTTTCAGGTGTACAATATTTTGATGCAACCTTTGCATACATTATGCAATGCTCACCACAGTAAGTCTAGTTCCCATCTGTCACCACACATTGTCATGACAGTATTACTGGCTGTATTCCCTATGCTGTATTTTAGTACTCTTGTCTAATTTATTTTATGACTGGAAGTCTGTACCTCTTAATCCTTTTTGCCTATTTCACCAGAAAGGGTAGCCTTTTCAACAAAAGGTGATGGAACAGCAGGACATCTCTGTGAAAATAAAACCTAGATACTTTGCACCTTTCATGAAAGTTAACTCAAAATTCATCATAGACCTAAATGTTAAGTGTGAAACAGTAAAATTTTAGAAGATATTATATTAGAGAGTCTAGGTAACCTTGGGTTTGGTAAGGTCAAATAGATACATCAAAAGCATGATCCATGAAAGAAAACGATACGTTTGGTTCATTTAAACTAAAAACTTTTGCTTTGCAAAAGGCACTGTTAAAGACAGTGAGAAGACAAGCCACAGACAGGGAGAAAGAATTTACAAAAGACACACCTGATAAAGAACTGCTATCCAAAATATACCAAGAACTTTCAAGACTCAACAATAGGAAAACAAAGGACCTACTTAAAAAATGGTCAAAAGAGCTGGACACTTCACCAAAAATGATGCTCAGATGGCGATAAGTATATGAAAAAGTGTTCAGCATCATATGTCATCAGAGAAATACAAATTAAAATAATGGGATACCACCACACGCATATTGGAATGGCCGCGATCCAGAACACTGACCCCCTGAATGCTGGCGAGGTGGAGGCGCGGCAGGGGCCTCCCCTCACCACAGGTGGGAACACGGTTTGGCGGTTTCTTAAAATAAACATACTCTCACCAACAACTCAGCAATCTCACCCCTTGGTTATTTACCCAGATAAACTGATAAATTATATCCACACAAAACAGTGCATGGATGCTTATAGCTTCATTAATAATTGCTAAAACTTGGAAGCAGCTGCTTTGGTAGGTGAATGAATAAACAAACTGTGGACCATCCGAACAATGGAGTATTGATCAGTGATAGAAAGAAATGAGCTCTCAGACCATAAAAACACACGGAGGGCCCTCGCATGCATGGGGCCATGTGAGAGAGGCCGAGCTGGAAGGGCCACATGCTGTGTGATTCCAGCTCTGTGCAGCTCTGGAAAAGGCAATACTGTGGAGACAATAAAAGGGTCAGTGGTGGCCAACATGTGGGTACTAAATCTTGGAAATATGACTGTACACATTTGTCTAAATGCACAGAAGGTACAAAGCCAAGATTGAACCTAAATGAAAACTATG